GGGGACATATTCAAACCAATGACTTTCTCTCTTCTTCCTCTTCTCTATCACCCTCACCTCCGGCGATCCTAACCGCTGGTCTAGACGGAATCTTGGTTGGAGGTTTACTATCCAACGGAACCATCCTCAATACAATCCCCATTGCTATCAACAACAATCCTGACCCGTGTTGTTCCGTTAACGGCTTTGTGAATATCAAATAGGATAGCAACAATGTAACCCCTTTCCTCGCCGTTGTTATCTACACAAAACGTTGATGAGAATATAGAACGCAGATTCAATTAAAAACGCAAGTGAGCGTTCGTAGATACGGTTAGAGATTTACCAAGGCGGTTGTGGCGGCTCCGAAGAGTGCAATGAGCGATAAAACAGAGACTTGACCGATGAATGTGGCCATGGCTTCGAATACAAGGACTCCATACACATACGGATGCTGCAAATTGTAAAACAATAAACAAAGAAGAGTTGATTTTTAAATATATTATCATGTAACGAATCATTAAACAGTTTGATTAAAAAATTACACGTTGGTACGTTAGTTATAGGTTCATTGATTTTAATTTCATTTTTTATAAAGAATAATTGGCTTCTAAAAAGTTGGCAGATTTAGGCATGTCGGTCAATGATTTCATTTCGACGGAGCGAAGAATGAATTTTTGACTTTTTCCTATTGCGTATAAACCAAATCTGATTTCAGTTTGAAGCAAGAACCAAGTCAAACCTAAACCAAGAACTTTCAAAGCCAATACAAAGTCCACTCTATGTCACATTCGCTTCATATGGACTATGTCATAAATGGTGTATAGACCCAAAACCAAAGCGGGTTAATTCGGTTTGGTTATAAGGTTTTCCAAGTCCCAAACCGGACAAAAACAGAGGTTTGTTGGACTTACTTGTGCGCACGCAGTCCATGCACGGAAAACCTCTCCGGTCAAGACCATGGGAACGAACAAGAACGGTAATCCAACAACCGTTGAGCAGAAAAGCATCTCCATCTGCGCAAAATACATTACAAGAATCTCAGACTCGGAAACAAACAGAACAGAATGGTAAAAGGAAACCAAAAGATAAGTTTCGCTTTTTTTCGGGATTCTTGCCTGAGTTGTCTCGGGATTCATTGTGAAGATCGCTTCTTGTAGATTACCCAAGAAAGCATCCATGATCAATGCACCGGTTATCATCATAATACCGATCATACTGAAATTCGGAGACATATGGGCGTCTGCTAACGTGAACAGTATCAAACCAAGAACAAGCAAGAACGCTGAAATGTATTCGTGGACCGGATATTTTCTCCTCAGACCGGGTATAAACGCTCCCATTATCATTACCGGCAATACCTAAAACCCCCGAAAGATCCGTCATTTCGGTCATTCTCCAAAAACTAAGCTACTATAAACTCCAAGTACATTTTATAATGATTGTAATTGGGAACTATGGACTTACCTTGGTGGATTTGAACATGATTTGAGCTGGATAATTGAGATAAGCCAAAGATCCTTTGGTTAATCCGTGTGATCCCATGAGAACAGCAGAGAGTTTAACATAAGTTCTCATCGGATTAACGATATGCTTTGTGGTGAATCCTTGAAGGTAGATGAGGAACAAGTAGACAAATCCTTGTATAAACGTGAAATACCAACCAAAGCTACAAGACAACAACAACATAAGAGAGAGCAAATCCTGTAAAATCTAAATTTTAGGAGGCATCAAAGTTGACTTTTACCTAAATTGAAGACGATTATAAACATATTCCTGTAAAAATCAAAATTCAAGTCAATTATTGTATCAACAATTGTAGATCCAATGCATTATCAAAATCATGTTTTCTTTACAAGATCACAACTTTTTTGTGATCTCACAAGTCTTTCGACTTGAAAACAAATTTTAATTTATAAGATTTATAGAAATCAAATTGTTTGGAGAGAATTAAGTTCGTCATGCAGTTTTGTTGTTCCTCTGTATTGTTATTTTCTCAGAAACCAAACATCAAACACTTAGCATGCAGGTGAATTTGAATGCAACAAAATCACAAATTTCCAAAAGATAAACAATTTACGTTATCAATTATACATCGGACTT